CCAAGAATACAAATATAGGAAGCACTTATTTACAAATTACCTAGCATATGTTTATGCAGTTGATCCAATATATTGAAGAATCCATCATTAACACACTCAACAACAACTGGCAGCATATGCATCTCCCGCACACTAAGATAACATATAAATAAATAGTAAAATAAAACTCAGATAAAACAGAATAATTGGAATCCAGAAGTCAATCTAATTTGTGGGTTACTCAATTGACTGTTGGGAAGTTATCAAAACAAAGCATAAAACATTTAAATATTTCTATGATAAGAAATGTAGGTATTAACATGTAGTCTTAAGAAACAATAGACAAACTAGGAAAGCTTTATTCACTTGAGAACAACTGGAGTGGCAGAAGAAAGTTAAGGATTCATGACTCAACATTCCAAACATTCTTTTTTTTTTTTTTCATTTCCCAAGACCTTGGTGTTACATATTGAGGTAGCAATATTGTCCTGAAATCCTGTGTGAGCCAGGAGCACATCAAGAGAAATGCTCAGTTGTAGAGCATCAACCTTGTCTCCACATTTGAACTCAGCAACACAAGATGAGGATTGCAGTGTAGAAAATATGAAGACAAGCTCAAAGCACAGGAGTCTTGCCTTGGAACTCAATTGCGGAAGGGAAAAAACTGAACTAAGTGATAGCAAAATCAAATTGTATATTTTAAATAAGTGACAATTTTATATTTAAAATTTTTAATTATGCTTTAAAAGATAGAGTTGGCAGTTGAGCACAAGTGATCTATAATTTTCCCCCAAAATAGTTAAAATGGTTTAAACGATTTATGATTAAGAAATATTAATTCTATATATTTGTAATAATCAGTTATATACTTAATGTTCCAGGGGCTGAAGAGAAAACTTTGTATTTTAAAAGGAGTGCGTGAGTGCTCCACAAAAGCAGTGGATGTCTTCATCTCTCACCTCTCACCAGATAAGTGTCCCTGTGCAGCAGATGGTGATTAACACAGAAACCCACAATTGACCAATGTGCAGAGAACAAGAGGCTGCAGAGTGCTTATCGCTGAATAAGGCACTACTTCAAAACACTGCCTCCAAAGACTCAGGGATCATTGTGGAAGAGGAGGCTCAAAGATTGTAAGAACCAGAGGGGTTAGATGAACACAAGGAAACAGAATCTTCCAGACAGTTTGCCAGTTACTCATATTAACTCTCAGCATTGGTGACAACATACACAAGATCTCTTCAAACTCAAACCAGACAAAATTCCAACATAGATATGAGAAAGTGGCTAAGAAATTTCTACCCAGTTTAAGGAATTTTTAGCATTGATGGCTACTGAAGAGAAAGACAGTATCTTAAGAATGGGACTCTTGGTGGGCCCAGTGGAAGGACTGATATTGAAATTTGGGACACAAATCATATTCTATAGGCTCACCATATCATATTTGAGAATACAATAAATTGGGAGGGGGCAGTTGGTTGGAAGTGCAGATAGGGAGGGAGTCTATCAAACTGTATTGTACCAAAATCTCAAAAATTCAATTTTTTAAAAAGCATTGCATGTGGAAAAAGCTGCCAAATCTTAGGAAACGAGGATAACTCTTTTCAGTAAGAGAAACAGATCATCCCAACTTTAACTTACTCTTGCAAAACAGTATCCCTCTTCCCTAAGATGGTAGAAAGCCCTTCTACTCCTCATTGTTGATAAAAGAACACTTTATACCTAGTACTTGCTCGTTGTAGTTAGAACCATGTTTTGCACAGTGCATTCTTCTAAGTATTAAGATTACTGTGATAATGAAGAAAATGCTGGCAACAGGGCTTATTTGCAATGATATTTAGTACGACCAGTAGTTCAATTTTAATGACTGTTATGCTTATGATCAGGAAATTAGGACAAAGGTACACAGAAGACATTTAAAATCTTTTCCAAAATACATATCTTTATTAAAATTGCTGATAAGATTTAGCTAATTTTGAGTTAGATTTTCTCATATTTAAAGAAACAATAAGGTTACAGTTCATCTAAGAAAAACATTACGTTTCTTTATAACTTAATATCATTCACGTATTGGCAGTAGATTTGTGCTGTGTTTTCTATAAGTTAAAAGCATGCTTGGATATAACAAAAACTCCATTCCATTATGTCAATGATGCAATTAGAAAATGTGGGATATTCACAGAGTAAAATGTTTCTTCAAAGATTGCTAATGCACTTCACTAAAGTTTATCTTTATGAGGCATTGTTTGTATGTATATACAGAGAATACATGATAATCTCCTTTTCCTGTCACAGAAATCTCTAGATGCTTTTACTCTATTTGTCTAGATAACTTCCTGACATTCAACCGAACAATACATGAATTAAATTGGCTTCTCAGTTCCAGTCACTAGGTCTTATCTGAGTTTTTGTGAACAAACAAAATGAAAAGCACTGGCAGCACGTCTGTATGTATGTGTCTATCTGTCATCTATCTCCTATGTGTGTACATGTATGTATATGCGTATGTATGCCTCTAAACCTGCATGCAGTATACACATTTGTGTGTAAATATAGTACATATGTATAAATACTGCCAACTGAACTGCAATTTGAGATTTTATATAGATGTTATCTGTTCCACGGAACATGTCAGGTAACTGTTTCCTGTTTCTATAACTGGATGTTGTGCTCCAAGCTAGATAAAGATCTGAACATTGCAACAAAAGTATTCTGAGTGAAAAATATTGCAAACAAACCTGATTTACATTACTATGAGTTACACTCGGAAAATAAATCTATAACATCTGATTGTTTCTCACTGTGTCTTCGGTTTCCTGAGGTCCTTCCTTGCTATGACTAAATAGAACTAAAAATGCTATCTCCTGTTTAAGAGCTGCGAGTCTGGAAAACCTCAAAACACATAGCTATGATCATGCGGTGCTTCCTAAGTAATGTCTGCAGAGAATGCCTACATGTTCAACTTGCAAATTAAAAAGAAAAGAAAAGAAAACAACAACAACAACAACAACAACAAAACGACTAGGGGAGTTTTGAGGGGAGCTAGAGTTTCGTTTACTTTCCAAAAATCGAACATGTTTTTCCTAACATTGTGCTCACATTGAGTTTTGTGGGTTATCGCCACAGAACATGAAAGTTTCTACTTTATCACTTCTCTTTTCCAAAGACTTCCAGACTCCCCCAAGTGGATATCAGAGAAATTTAGCCTAAATAACTGACATTTCATAATGAGCTTTAATCAATCTACATCAACTGTTTTCTAATTGAAGCGTGCTATGTGAAAAATTTATTTTTAGATCAACTAACACTCCCCCATCCCACCCCCTATAATTTATAATTTATTGACATGACTACAGCATCTCTTACACAGACACCTTTTTTCTCTCTCTGAAAAAAAAGTGGAATACAACTGTCAGAGTCACTTAAGAGCCATATTATGTCTTGCAGGTCACTGTTACATAAAATTCTATATATAGGACACACAAAATGGACCGTATTGCAATGTTGACCACGAGTAAATAAGATAAACACAGCTTATATCAAACTGCAGTTTGCTCTGACACAAAGGCATCAAAATGTCTGGAATCTGCTTTAACCAATTAAGCCTTTCAAGGCAGAAGGAAAATAAAGCCTTCAATAAATCCATTGAAGGCACCATCTCTCAGCCTCCCACGCCTGGTATCGATCTTTTTAAGTGCCAACTAATGAGTCGTAAGGTAGTAGCAGATCTATGGCGTGTATATATCTGATGGGGTGCTCTCACTCCACCTCAGAGGAGCTAATTTACACAAAGACAGGATCAACTGAGAGGGCTTAGGGGGAGAAGCAACCTTTGCTGATGGCTGCCTTGACCCTTTCAAGCCCAGCCCAAGTCTGTGTTAGTGGAAGGCTGTAGATGTGGTTTCCCTACTTTCCCTGACAAGCCCAGGAGTTTGTGCACAGGAGGTTTTCCATTCAGGTCGCTTCTAGGGCGAATCGTTTTGCTTTTGTTCACCACTTCTTTGTGGTGGAGATGAACTGGAGCGAAAAGCACAGGAGCTCCTGGCAGCTGCTTTTCCTGCTGCAAAGCATCTTTTCCTCTCAGCTTTGGCAATTTAGGAAGAACTGATGTTCCCAGGGGAGGTGGATGCTGGGAGCTCCAGGAGTGGGAACACATCCATCAGGAGTCCCTGCTTCTACCTTCTATGCACTTCCACTCGCGTCGCCACAACTCCCCTCCCCCAAGCTTTAACCACACAGCACTTGCCGTGTCAGTAACTGGAGTGCGAGGGTGAGGGGCGCTCAACCCCCATACCAAAGATACATCAAAAGCGAATAGAATCCCATAAGCCAAATCCGGCGGGGCGGGTAGCTGATCTGGAGAGAGGAGCCGCGCCTGGCACCTGCCCGGATGCTCTGCAGTTGGAAGCGGATGGCTTTGGTACTAAATTATTAATTTATTTCTTTCCCCGGCACCCCCGCCCCCAGCTCGACTGGCAGAGCAGAAACCGTGGTCGCTGCGTTTCCCTCTCAGCCTGCACCTTGCAGGAGTCTCGCACTTGTCGCTGGACGTCGCCTCTCGGCCAGGAGCGGCCGCACGCGTTGCGGGGCTCTCCCACTCGTGGCCACCCTGGCGCGGCCGTGGGTCCCGGCGGGGGAGGCGGGGGGTAGGCGGCGGGTGACAGATGTACTCCTCTGACAGTTCTCAGTATCAGCCCAGTGGCTCCCTGCCATTGGCTCAGTGTGATGGACCGGCAACGCCGCTCACTATAATAACACTCATGCCTGCCAGCGGCAGCGACTCCGAGTGCGAGCGCCGAGCGCGGGGGATGCTGTCGCCGCCGCTGCCGCTGCCACTGCCGCGCGGGCGGCTCCCGCTGCCCGTCTGCGCCCGGCTGCACCAGCTCTGACCGCTGCGCCCGCGTCCCGCAGCCCGGCCACTCCGCATCCTCCCGCGGGGCTCGCCGTCCCAGCGCCAATCAGAAGGCGGGCACTACGCCAGAGACCCGGGCAGCCAGGCCAGCATGAGGAGGCGGCGGGGCGTGCGCCGCACCCGGGCGTAGGGAGCCGGCGTCCGAGCCGCCAGCTCCCCGGCCCACCGCTAGTCCTGCCCGCGGTCCCCAGCACACCCTCCCGGATCCAGCTGAGGCTGCGGGCTCGAGTGCATGGAAGTGGCGGCTGCGGCGGAGAGGCGGTGGCTGCCCCATGGAGTGTTACTACATTGTCATCAGCTCCACGCATCTCAGCAACGGACACTTTCGCAACATCAAGGGAGTTTTCCGGGGCCCCCTCAGCAAGAACGGGAACAAAACTCTGGTAATTTCTCTCTCTCTCTCTCTCTCTCTCTCTCTCTCTCTCTCTCTCTCTCTCTCTCTCTGCACAGACATGGGAAAGAGGACAGTAGCTCTTGCACATTCTTTGTTTTGATAATTGCAATAACTAATTTTGTATTTATATACTCAATACAATTAATACTCCTATTTCACTCTTCCCCCATGTCCTTAGGGCAACATATCCCCTTCTCTGTTATGACACTTTGTAGGCATTTTATCGAGTTCAACAGTCCCTACCAAGAGGTTAGTTTGGTAGACCATGAAGTTCATGCCTGTCAGCATCCCTCTGCCAGCACTCCCATGAGCCATCACCTAATTGGGGTACTTTAAAGGTGCTTTGCATGGCCCATTCATGAGCTAATGCTGAAACCAAAACCTGCCTGTTTCTATGTTCAACAAACATTACAGAAACAAACATGTAACAGTGAATCCATACAACTCACAAAAAAGAAAGGCTCTCTCTCTCTGTTTCTGTTTTTCTCTCTCTCTCTCTCTCTCTCTCTCTCTCTCTCTCTCTCTCTCTCTCTCTCCCTCATCTAAGAGGACATTTGGAGGATTAAGGCAACTGATAGATTTTATTTGCTATTTTACTTGGTTTATAATGCATTCATTTATTTGTCTGATGGGCGTGGGGTGAGAATTGGGTTTAGGGAAGCGATTTTAGGGGAGTTCTAATTGAAGGCTTTCATTCACACAAAGCTCTCTCATCGACCCCACTCCACAGTGTTGAAGATTATCGGATTCCTAATTTCAGCAGGACATTTTTTAAAGCAGAAAGGAATCCCAACTGATCTAGTGACACCTTTCAGTTTAGGGAATTGAAGGTGAATAAGTGTGTGGGTGTCTCTGATGGAGCAAGGCGCCATGTGGCTGGTGGCATAGAGGAAGTGGCGGGACTGACTGACGGTCTCAGAGTTCGTATTTTGACTCTACTGAAGGACTGACTGGCAGTAAACTTCTCTGACTGGAAGTTGTCAGTGCTAAGCTCAATAGAATAATGCCATCACTCCATGCTGCCAACTTTCGCTTGTTTCTCTGTGGAGTTTGGGGATAAGGATGAAAGAGGATCACCATATCATTATTACAACCACTAGGAAGCATGTTAGATAGTCAGAACCCACACAGCCTCTGGAAGAATCTCACTAGATCACAGAGCTTGTCTTTGCAGCATCCAGTAGTTAGGACACTCCTGATTGGTGGAAGATGTACTGAGCATGAACATGGTGCTGAGGATCGCTCCTACTTTGCATCCAAAATGCCTCAGCCACAAAACCTCCCTGCAGAACAAACTGTCATGCGCAGGAATTTAGAGACAATACATTTCCATAAAGGGAAGGAGAAGTAGAGGGAGATCTCACTAGTATAAGTACTGGCAGAGGGTCTAATATGAGTACTGGCAGAGTCCAATCCAAGTAAGATGGTAATAAATAAGTAAGATTTTCTGCGGTCCATGACCATGGGCAATTAATCTTCACTCTCTTTTTTTCAGTAGGTCATTGCTTTAGTTGGAATGAAGAGTACTTTAAGGATACACTTAGCTAAAATAATAGATATTGTATTTTTATTTCTTTATATATTTAAAAATTTGATCACATGAACATAAAACTTGCTTGTGATGTTTTTGAAAGATGAAAAGTTCTCACCTGAAGTTTTCAGTGAATTCAGTGATAGAGTACATTTGATTTATCTTTCACTGGAATATGTTGTCTGCCACCTTTCAGTTCATTTATGTTAAAAAAAACACATTACTATTTTTACATCCTTATTGTTGTGATGTGGTTATTTGCTTTTAGTTTTGAACAACAGAAAGTTTTCTGCAGACTTCTTTAGGGGGGTAGTATAGAGTAGCAAAGCCTAGAAGAATTTCTGAAGCAAGACCTACTTAGAAAACTCAGCTAATATTTTAAAGAGCAAAAGATACTTCAACACATACAGCTTTATTTATTGAAGAAAATGTCATTTAGGGGAAAGAAAATGTTACTGAACAAGATGGCTTTTCTGTAGCATGGATAATAACACATTCAATAGAGTTCATAGAAAAATAAAGCTATTCATCAAACCTCAACTTGTCATAATGCTGTTCACCTTGATTCTTCAGTGAGCCTTAGGTATCGGACAGTAGTTGCATTTGTTTGTGCTGACTTGCTTGTTCTGTGTTTGAAGTTGATTAGCTCTCGATCACTCATATTGACAAAGGTCAGGTTAAAGATGAGTTTTGTCTATGTAGCTTTGTTATTAAAATAAGTGCATTAAAAGCAGTCACAAATAAAATGAATAAATCCACATAGAAGTAAATGTCAGAAGCAACAAACGGGTAATGTCTGCTGAAGTAATCTCATTGCATTTCTCTTGTTGAGAATAACAGAAGCTTGTAGGTATATCCATGCTACTCCTTTCTGGTTGTCTCTGAGCTGCCCCAGTTTGGATTTGCTGTGTATGAGATTTATGTTGATTTAAATGATGTGATATATATATGTGGATTTTCTAAATGCTTTTTGATGAGTTCTGTTATTGGGTTAAAAAAAGAGATATTTTTGTCCTTAAGTATAGGGGAAGAAATTCCCGATATATTCTTAAGGGACTTATTTAATTAAAAAAGTGTTGTCCATACCTACATAAAAATATACTCTTTACAGCCCATAGGATGCCATGAGGACTTACTGCCAGCTCAATTTTCTTTTAACTACAAGTAGATAATTGTACCTGAAGTTTCTAAGAACTACCAACTTTGAAAGGGAATATAGATATTAACTTAAAATGGATGTATGCCAATGGATGAAAATATTTAAGTTAGAGTTCATATGTATCTGGTTTTTTGTCTTTATTTTCTAGTTTTTAAAGTTGACAGATAAAGCCATGAATATTTAATATGTACACTTTCAAAACCTACAGTAATGGGGTAATAATCAAGGAATTTTTGTACTAATTTATATTGATTTGATGTATTTGAGTTTTGTCTCTAAGATAAATATACTACAGCAGAGTGTTTTAATGATACCCAAGTGGATGTTTGCTTATTTTTTTATTTCAAGGAAATACAACCTACAGTCATTCATGGAAAAATAATTGTGGTTTATCCCTAATAAAGTAAATATCTTCACTTCCTGCAAGATTAATAAGTAGGTCTGAATTTATTTAAAATTCAAATTTAACAAAAACATGTATACAAACTTCAAGAAATTCACATTATTAAGATACAGTGCTATTTATATAGTGTCTTACAATGAATACAAAGTTGTATGTAGAATACACAGTATATTCAGATTTCAGTGACATTGGATAATTGCTTTCAGTCCTAAATGCAATAATGTTGCTTGTCACCCTGTGAAGGAGATCATCATGTCATATAGCTTTTTCTAGGACTCTTATTGAGTTCCAAAAGTAAAAATCTGAAATGAGAAAAAAATGTGCTTAAAGGCTAAGCCAGTTGTCAGTCTTGAACACATTTGTGAACTTTTTCCACTTAGCAATTTTAATTAAGAATATTAAAACTTCTATTTTTGTCATATCTTAAAAGCAAAGAATAAAGTGATTTGTCTGTTACTATTTCTGCTAGAAACTTCAACATCTCTTGCATAGATTTAATTGTACTGAATAAGAAATTAAATATATTTTATTAATGCTTTAGAATATTTCTGAATAATTTATAGGGATTGGTTACATTGAATACAGTTAATGGTCCACAGTTCATTTTTAACCTTTAGTATGTATGACTTCTTTTTGCATTTCATATTTCAGTAAATATTTACAATTAATTCACAAAAACATTTGCCCTACTGGTATATTTTAAAACTTTTAATATATGCCATAGATATGAGACATATTTATATGGAGTCTCAGTCTAACTATTTTTAATGTGAAATTTATGTTTTCATTTAACAGTTTTAGAAGTCATTACTAGTTTACTGTGTACATTCTGTTTGTTGATCTGCATTTTTATCTCTTACATAATGTTTTAATTACAATGTCTAAGGAAGAAAAAAAGAATCAGTGGTGGTGTGAGATTCCACAGTAAGTCAGTATTATAGTGAAGATTCTATGGCATTTTATAATTATGGACTTCATAAGGATTAGTGTGGTAACATAATTAAGAGACTTTATTGTATCATATGTTTATTGACATTTTACTTTTATACTTTTCTCCAAGTATGGAGACATAGTACTAGGTTGAAAGAATAATTTGAATTTAAATTTTCTTATGCTCAACTCAGCAAATATCCTTAAGTCATAGTTCTGTAGGCTGGCCACCATTTTTAACATAAGAAGTACCAGGTTTCGTAAGAAAATAAATTAATTTCTTAATTGGTTTTCGATATATTTATAATTAATTCAACATTTGTGAGATGCCTTAATTTCAAAGGAATTTTCAGGTAGCACCAGCTCTGCATATTATTCAAGTGCACTCTTTTGCTCATTTTGACTCTGTTCCAAAAAAAAAAAACCCTTCATACTTTTTGATGTTTTCAAGTTTTTTGTCCCCCAGAAAATTGCCATATATATTAATTTTAAAATGTGAAAAAACTCACTTTTATATTGTGTGTATTGGAACTGAAAAAAATTAGATTGACATTGATGTATACCATGTGGGCCTTTGTGTTAACTGTCATCGTGGAATATAATTTATTGTTTATGTAAATATCTTATATTTTCTATGTCTGAGAGAGTGATTGAAAAGTATCTCTACTCACTGAAACCAATTTCTGTGAAACTTTGCGTTTGCAAAAAGGAAAGAACCATTGCTAGGTTGATAATATTGAAAAATAAGTGCTGAGAGATTATTATCCCTAAGAAATTTCATGGATGAGATTGACTTCAGGTAATATGTTAATATATCCACAAACTTTTGTACTATATGAACCTTTTCATATAATCAGTTGCTACATACATCTCCAAGTTTGTTTTACACTTATACATTCATTTTTAAAGACTATGTTGTTATCTCACCTTTCTGAACTAAATATGCCAATTACTCTTCACTATGCT